CGGCATTCAACATTCACAGTCTTAGTTTCTTCGCACATATTCCCTTTGTTGAAGTCGTTCGCACAGATCATCCTGCAGAGTTTACTCTTAAATTTATCCCGATCATCGCCGTCGATCAGTAAGGCTTTCTTATTTTTCCGCCACGAAATAGATATGTAGCCATCATTAAATAATTTCTTATCGCCTCCTGGACTAACCCATTCGCCGTTTAGATTAAGTTTTTCACTGACAAACTGTTTCAGTGAGTCGAAATCTCCCATCCAAGCCAGTTGCAATTCCTCAGCCATTATCAAAACGAATTCCTCGACTTCCTCACAACGTCAAGGACAAAGACAAGAATCAACGAAACTATGTTATTTTTGCAGCAAACCCTATCCTCATCCTGGCGTATGTCCAGCAAAAGGGAAAACGTGTCGACTTTGCGGGAAATTGAATCACTTTGCCGTCGCATGCCGTTCATCTCCACAAAAACAACAACATCGCCACCATGAAAGTGACAAACGTCAGACGGTTAAGTATGTAAACGAAGAAAACGCAAGTGACATTATCAGTGAACACTCCGAGTCGGATGAATATACGTTTATGGTGCAAGATACAGACGAAAATACCAAACATCCAATGGCTAACTTACGGATTCAAGACCTAGCCAAAGTTAAATTTATTATTGACACTGGAGCGACAGTTAATTTACTCGAAGAAAAGGATTTTGAAGCCCTCAAACCGGAAATAAAATTGCAACACAGTTCTATCAACATCTACCCCTACAAGTCCGATAAACCCCTCAGGGTCCTTGGAAAGTTTACTGCTACTGTAGAATCGCGGAAACGAATTGATGCTGCCGAGTTTTTTGTTGTTAGCAACAACGGTCGCCTTGGAGGTTCTTTGTTATCCTACAATACTGCAAAGCATCTTGGTTTGATTGCAATTACTAACGCTGTGGACACTGCTAAGAACACAACTGTATCCTGCAATGTTACAATACCTGAGGAATTATTCAATGGCGCTGGAAAATTAAAAGATCATAAGGTGAAGCTACATATTGACGAATCAATTCCGCCAGTTGCTCAAACCCATCGGCGGATACCATTCCATCTACGGAAACAGGTGGAGAAAAAGCTTGAAGAAATGGAAAAGGATGACATCATCGAGAAAACAGAAGGTCCAACGCCCTGGGTTTCCCCAATCGTTGTTGTGCCGAAACCCAAAAGTCCAAACGATGTTAGAATTTGTGTGGATATGCGAGCTGTCAACAAGGCAATCCAGCGAGAACGTCACATAACCCCCACTATAGATGACGTCATAGCAGATCTAAATGAAGCTAAAGTATTTTCAAAGCTTGACCTCAATCAAGGTTATCACCAACTTGAACTCTCACGGAGTAACCTCTGCAGCTGAAATTTTCCAAAATACTATTCGTGAAACACTTGAAGGTCTCAACGGCTGTATTAACATCAGTGATGACATCTTAGTCTATGGATCCAACCAAAAAGAACATGACAACAACCTCAAATCTGTATTGGAACGTCTTCAGTCTCGTAACCTAACATTAAATAAGCTGAAGTGTGAATTCAACAAAACCAGCGTTGAATATTTTGGATATGTATTCTCATCGCAGGGCATTTCACCTGACCCTCGCAAAGTGGAAGCTATATACGCAACTCCCAACCTTCATCCAATCCAAACGAAGTCCGAAGTTTTCTAGGTATGGTCAACTTTTGTGCCGATCCATCCCAAACCTTGCGACGCTAGCTAAACCATTACGAGACCTGACAAAACAGCATGTCAAGTGGAAATTTACCAGTATATATCAAATCCGTGTTAACCAGTGAAACAACAATGGCTTATTATAATCCCTCGCACAAAATTGAAGTTCTTGTAGATGCAAGTCCAGTTGGTCTTGGTGCTATACTTGTCCAATATCCTACCACTAGAGATCACAGTGCTTCGCCACGTATTTTCAGTTATGCCAGTCGGGTATTAACTCCTGTAGAGACTCGCTATTCACAAATTGAGCGAGAAGCTCTGACTATTGTCTTGTCATGTCATAAATTTCATCTATATTTATATGGTACCCAATTCTTTGTTATTACTGACCACAAGCCACTGGAACGTCTTTTTAACAGCCCGCAAAGCAAACCACCTGCTCGTATTGAACGATGGTTATTAAAGGTACAACCATATCGTTGCAATGTTCAGTATCAACCCAGTTCTGACAATCCAGCCGACTTTATGTCCCGCCATCCGTTGCCATCATCACCTATACCAGCCATGAGGAGAGATGCGCTGAAGAATATGTTAATTTCGTTTCAATGCATGCTGTTCCCAAGGCCCTTACACTGCAAGAAATCAAAGAAGCCACAAAAGCCGATACCACACTTAAAGCTGTCATTCAAGCAGTTCAAACCAAACAGTGGCATAATGCGAAACTCCAACCTCGTGTTGATCGCAATTCGGTAGAATGTTTTTTTCACATCCAAAACGAACTGTCAGTTAACAGTGATCAAAGTCTCCTCCTACGTGGTACCCGTATAGTCATACCAAGTAAATTTCAAAACCATGTGATAGACCTCGCACACGAAGGCCATCAAGGCATATCACGGACAAAACAACTCTTGCGTGAGAAGGTCTGGTTTCCGACCATTGATAAACAAGTGGAAGAAAAAGTTAGCTGCTGCTTAGCTTGCCAAGTCACAACAAACACAAGCAACATTGAACCATTACGTATGCCTGAAGCTAGCAAGAATCCATGGGAAAGTGTATCAATTGATTTTTGCGGCCCGTTTCCCAGTGGTGAGTACTTACTTGTATTGATTGATGACTACTCATGATACCCCGAAGTAGACATCATTAGAACAGTAGCGCATACAACTGTTATTCCCTGTCTTGACAAAATCTTTGCTACTCACGGAATTCCCAGAACCGTTAAATCGGACAATGGCGCCCCATTTAATAGTACAGAATTCAAACAGTTTGCTAATTATCTTGGTTTCCAACATCAGCGTATAACACCCTATTGGCCTCAGGCAAACGGAGAATCCGAACGATTTATGAGAACGTTAAAGAACACAGCTACAACTGCCAAAGTTGAAGGCAGGTCTTGGAAACAAAACTTGTTTACCTTCCTCGCAAACTACCGAGCTACGCCCCATAGTGTAACCCACCAAGCTCCTGCAACCTTGCTATTTAATCGTGCCATAAATGTCAAGTTACCCCAGCCACAAACTGTAGCACCAGCTGACCCAAAGCATCAACAACCACTTGATGCATCATGTAAGTCAAGACAAAAGAACAAGGTCCACTTTGACAAACGAAACAAAGCCAAATCCTCTGAATTCAAAGTCGGTGATGCAGTCCTGCTGAGAAACTCAAAGAAAGGTAAATTGCAGAGCCCTTATGAACATCAGAAATACCAAATTGTTAAGAAGAAAGGATCGATGATTACAGCGTCAAATGACAATCGCCAAGTCACTCGGAACTCATCACATTTTAAAAAGTTTAAAGAAAAGAAAGGTGAAACAGATAACCCAGCAGATAAAGAAGAACAGCCGAGCAAGAAGAACACCAATGAACGCCCGAAAAGGAAAACAAAACCACCAGCCTACTTTGGCTATAAACAGTCAGATAAGTAAAACATTTATAATGAACTTTAATTGTCTAAGAAGTCGTCATAAATGAACTTTAAAATAAGACATTATAGGAACTTTCAGGTTGATATTAGTTAATCACAAACAGTTATAGTGAATGCAAAAACTAAAGGTTTAAAGGGATGTAATGACGTAATAGTTACATCATGCTTTAGGAGCATGCGCACTTGTAAAGATAGGAGCTGGACATGTGTTTATGCATCGAAGGAGTACTATATTACACCCCCCCCAAAAAAAAAAAAAAATGGGTGGGATGTTCATCAGTGCAAATATAATATATTTACAGCTTTACAAAGTTTTCCCACAAACAAAACAATTATATTATTATTTATCAACATGCAAACCTACAAAGAACTTATGACATGAAGTTCCTGGCTCAATATTTGTGTTCGTTTGCATGGCAGACGTTCTACACTTGCTTGAGTCACTTCCTGCGTTTCGGCTTAGAAAATTGATTATGAAATAGATAAAAGTCGGCAATTTTACAAGCAAGAATGTTGTCTGGAATTTCTAAAGTCCTCAAACCCCCTGTATGGGAAAACATTTCCATATTCCATAAATTTATTTTAAAATTTATTTATGCACCCTTAATGAACAGTAGAACACTTTGTATGAAATAATATAAAAATAGGTGCGCGGTGCGTACATGTTGCATGCGATCTCAAACCTTTATATGGTGCACTAGCGCTTATAATTTTTTGTACAACTGGCTTGATTCAATAAGATAAATATCAATATATTAATTGAAAAATAGTTTCATGTCAAAATAAGAGAGCTTAAGATTCTTACACGAATAGGCAATGTTTTTTCATGAGCGACTGGTCATTCTTAGTTGCAAGCGACGGTAATAACAAGGTCGAAGTCAATTACTGATTTACTCTTTACATGTAGGTTTCGTTTACTAATTTATAACTAAATAATGATATTTCCTACAAATTTAGCTTTATTGTGATTTTTGAAGGTATAAAAATCCGTGGAAATAGTGAATTACTATAACAAATTGTACATAATCTCGAATATGATTGAAATTATCGAAGTAGAATGCTACTTCGTTGTCTTAAATTTCAATACTATTAATGAGAATTTTGTTTTAAATTTTGAATATGTTTCATGTTATTTACAAAAATTAAATGTACTGTAGTTTTGAAGTTTATATATAATCAGTGCGCGTAATATAGTCAGTACCAGCAATTTGAGCATATAAAAAATGAGTATTTTGATAGCGTGGCCTTTCACGATATATAAATATAAACGCCTGATAAATAATCAGTGCAATCACAACAAATAACGGAATATAAGGTAAATTGAGAACAACGCTTTCCCTACCTCGATCTATTTTTCTGAGAAGCTCAATTATGTAAGTTTTCGGCGAACAATCTATTTTTTATTTGCGTTTTCTCGATGAATAGCGTGGACGAAATCGTGTCTGACTGATTCACAATTCACACCAAATTAAATTGCTCTTAGAAAAAGCTCGATATTGGTCGTATTTTTACGAATTTGGCACATGATTTACCACCGCCGGTAAAACGGCAATACAACGCGACACGAAAGTTAGAGCTATATATGAAAGTTGCATCTCATATATGGCATGCAACAAAAACCACAAAAAAATAGGTACGCACTGCGTACTGTGGTTAGCCTTTTGAACAAAAATAGGTACGCTAAGCGTACGTGCATTTGCGTACGGCGTTAGTGGATTATATGCCAACCAAATAGAAATCACTGAAATTATTGCAAGGACGTAGGATGATTGATACACTTTAATAGGGTGCCGGTTTTCACGAGGCACCACCATAATTTCAAAAAACTTTCAAACATGATTGAGGTTATGCAATCATCAAAAATAGAAAGTCGCGCCCCTCCAATTCACCCCTGGCACAGAATACCTTGTCAACAGCAAACATATCCCGCGTTTCGTATCTTGTACATCGGTAAATTAAAGCAGCACTTTTCAGAAAACTAGTTCAACATAGTTTAGTATAAGATACGACAATAACTAGACTAGGTCTCGACTAGACAATTTATCTTGATAATAAAAATTTTATACTAATCCTAAAAAATATTAGCTTAAGTAGTCTTAGCATTGGCATTGTCCTCAAAAGTTTGATATTTTGATATTAAGAAGGTATTATATACATGTAACATGAGTAACAAAGTCATTTATTCTTTCCACTGGGGATACAGTACATTCACCATTCATTCCAGGATGGCAGGTGTTAGTTCATATGTCCAAAATTGTGATGAATAAATCTTCTGTTATTAATTGAAAAGCGTCCTGATATACTGTATTCGCACCATTAAATGTGCATAAGATTCCTTCTGATTCCATACACTGCAGCTTTTGCTCCTGATCGGAAATATTTAATTGGTCACTGACAGATGGAAATCTTGTTTATTCATGCAGTTTCATTTTCCAATATTGACTTTTCAGCATTATCCAATAGTAGACACCTCTTGATACATTGTAAGTTGACCAACCATTAGAAATTTCCATACAGCATACTGTATCATCCAGTTGTATAAATTTAATCAAGACGTTTTATTTACAAATGAGACAGGTAAATATTCTTCTCAACCAGTAACATCTTCGCAGTGATGTAGAGTATACAGTCTAGCATTATTCGCCAGGTGGAATTCAATGGTCCTAAGGTGCCATTATTTTGTTTTTTTTGTTCCATCTACAATATTTAAAAAAGTTATATTACTATACTGGAAATATGTCATATTCCATGGCCTCCTCTTCACTTCAGCCATATTGTAAC